AACCATTTTTGGACCAGGCATGCTGGCTCACACCTTTAATGTCAGCACTTTGAGAGGTTAAGATGGCTCACTTGTGGCCATGGGTTTGAGACCAGACTGAACAACATATCAAGACCCCACCTCAACAAAATAAAGATAAAAATTAGCCGGGCATGGTAGGGCCTGCCTGTAGTTCTAGCTCACACTCCCTTAAGCCCAGGACTTGGAAGCTGCAGCGAGCTATGACCACATCACAGTGGCGTCAACACAGCTCACCGAAGCTTTGAATTCCCAGGCTCAAGCAATCCTCCTGTTTTAGCCCCAAAAGTAGGTGGAACTACAGACATGCACCATAATCCCCGGCTTTTGATAGAAATAAGGTTTCACTGGTGAAACTCTGTCTCTACTAAAAAAATACAAAAATTAGCCAGGCATGGTGGCACCCACCTGTAATCCCAGCTACTCAGGAGGTTGAGGCAGGAGAATAGCTTGAAACTGGGAGACAGGTTGCAGTGAGCCAAGATCACACCACTGCACTCCAACGTGGGTGACAGAGCAAGATTCCATCTCGAAAAAAAAAAAAAGAAAAAGAAAAAGAAAAGGTTTCACCATGTTGCCTAGGCTGGTCTCAAATTCCTGAGCTCAAGTGATTTGCCCAGCTTGGCCTCTAAGGTATGCACCACCGTGCCTGGCCCATTTTTTATTTAATTGACTATTACCTTTTTCCTTCTGTTTGATTTATTCTTCTTTTTCTAGAATCTTAAGATGGAAGCACAGATCAGGAGCCACCAAACCACTAAATCATGCCCATGATCTTTATGTATTGCTTCCCAGCTAAGAATCATCTTTTTTTTTTTTTTTTTTTTTTTTTTTTTTTTGAGATGTCCTTGCTCTGTCGCCCAGGCTGGAGTGCAGTGGTGCAATCTTGGCTCACTGCAACCTCCAACTTCCGATTCAAGCAGCTCTAATCCCAAATAGCTGGGATTAGAGGCACACAACACCATGCTGGCTACTTTTGTATTTTTAGTAGGACAGGGTTTCACCATGTTGGTCAGGCTGGTCTCAAACTCCTGATCTCAAGTGATCCACCCACCTTAGCCTCTCAAAGTGCTGGGATTACAGGTGTGAGCCACTGTGCCTAGTCTGGTTTTTACATTTTTAAATGGTTGGGGCCGGGGGGAATATGTGACAGACTTATATGACTTATAAAACCTCAAATATTTGCTACCCGGACCTTCACAGAAAAAGTCTGTCAACTCCTGGTTTAGATGACTGATCGATTTTAAAACTGTCCTTTTTTACAGTAAGCCTTTAATATGAAGTTTTCCCCAATGCTGCTTTAGATGTATTCCATTAATTTCAATGTTTTTGTTATCATTCACTTCAAATGTTTTCTAACACTGCTTGTGATTTAATCTTTGATACACAGATAATAAAAAAGTGTGCTATTTAATTCCCAAGTATTTCGATATTTTCTAGTTATCTTATTATTATTGATTACTAATTACAGTATTGTCAGAGAACATAATATTTCCATCATTTCATATTAAGAGACTTATTTTTGGACTCAGCATCTGGTCTTTCTTGGCAAATATTCCTTGTGCACTTGAAAAGAACTTTTTTTTTCTTTTGAGATGGAGTCTCACTCTGTTGCCCAGGCTGAAGTGCAATGCTGCAATCTGGGCTCATGGCAACTTTCATCCGCCTTGTTCAAGCAGTTCCTCTGCCTCAGCCTCCCGAGTAGATGGAATTACAAGTGCATGCCACCACACCTGGTTAATCTTTTTGTATTTTTAGTAGAGACGGGGTTTTACCACATTGGCCACACTGGTCTCCAACTCCTGAGCAATCCATCTGCCTTGGCCTCCCAAGGCACTGGGATTACAGGCATGAGCCATCACGCCTGGCCAAGAACATTTTTGTTTTTTAATAGTCACTGAGGACAGTATTCTATTTATGTCAATTAGCAAAAGCTGGTTGATAGTGTTATTCAGATCTTTGATATCCTTAAAATTTTTAGGGTGTTAGAAACCTCAAATATGATGGTGAATTTGTCTATGTCTCCTCTTCTACACATTTTTGCTTCATGTATTTTGAAGTTCTGTTATCAGAAGAACATACAATTTTATCTGTCCTGTTAAAACAGACTGGGAATTACAGGAATGGGAATATCCCTTTGAACTAGGAGCAAAGTCCAGACTTCTAACAATAAAAGGTCTGGGCAAGGTTCAGTAGCTCACGCCTGTAATCCCAACACTCTGGGGGGCCGAGGCAAGAGAACTTATTGAGGAGTTGGAGACCAGCCTGGGCACAACATGGTAAGATCCTCATCTCTATGAAAAATAATTTTAAAAATGAGCCAGGTATGGTGGGGCCTGCCTAAAGTCCTAGCTACTGAGGAGCATGAGACAGGTGTAAGGTGTCATCCCCCCAAGTCTGAAGCTGCAGTGACCTCTAATAGTGCCACTGCACTCCATCCTGGGCGACTGAGCGGGATCCTGTTTCTGGAGGGAAAACAATTTAACTTAATTTAAATTTAAAAAAAAATTTTTTTTTAAAAAGGTCCGATTGGTTTGGCCACAGTCTACGTAATAGACAGAGACTATTCCAGAGCCAAGACAGCTCTTAAACCACAGCACAGAATATAGATGACTATCTTATGACTGCACATCCTTATCGGTTTCTTTTCTTTTTTTTTTTTTTTTTCTGAGATGGAGTCTTACTGTCGCCCAGGCTGGAATGCAATGGTGTGACCTCGGTTCACTGCAACCTTCACTTCCCGGGTTCAAGCAATTCTCCTGCCTCAGCCTTCCAAGTAGCTAGGACTGTCACAGGTGTGTGCCACCACGCCTGGCTAATTTTTTGTAATTTTAGTAGAGACGGGGTTTCACCGTGTTAGCCAGGCTGGTCTCAATCTCCTGACCTTGTGATCTGCCCGCCTCGGCCTCCCAAAGTGCTGGGATTACAGGTGTGAGCCACTGTGCCCAGTCTCATCTGTTTCAATCAGGGTCACATGCAGACATGATGGCCTATGCTAAAAGAAAGTCTCAAAAGGACTGGATATGGCAGGAAAGGATTGGGTCATCTAGTTATATGACCCATCATGCTATTTTATCTCTTAGGAATGGAAGCCATGTACTAGCACATGCAACCTCATCATCCCTGTGTTGAGGACCCCTCCAAGAAAAGAGAGGCTCTTCACAGGCCAAGAAAGCTGAGAAGCTTTTGCCTCACTTGCAGGAGAGGTTGCCTGTGAAGGTATGGTAGAGAAATAATTTAGAACATACAATGCATTCCCCTATGCTTCAATTTTTTTTTTTTTTTTTTTTTTTTGAGATGGAGTCTCACTCTGTCACTCAGGCTGGAATGCAGTGGCAGATCTTGGCTCACTGCAACCTCTGCCACCCAGATTCAAGCAATCCTCGTGTCTCAGCATCCTGAGTACCTGGGTCTACAAGCATGTGCCAACATACTTGGCTAATTTTTGCATTTTTAGTAGAGATGGGGTTTCACCATGTTGGCCAGGCTAGTCTTGAACTCTTGACTTAGTGATCCGTCCACCTCGGCCTTCCAAAGTGCTGGGAGGCCATCCTAATCTCCACTGGCCCAGGCACTCTATCCTATTACCCTGGTATTTCCAAAATAGCATCAGCCACAATCAGAAGTATTTTGTTTATTTGTTTATAATTTTATTGCCCCTTCGCAATTTCTTTTAAAATACAAAGCCAAGGCTGGGCGCGGTGGCTCAAGCCTGTAATCCCAGCACTTTGGGAGGCCGAGGCCGGTGGATCACGAGGTCGAGAGATCAAGACCATCCTGGTCAACATGGTGAAACCCCGTCTCTACTAAAAATACAAAAAATTAGCTAGGCATGGTGGCGCGTGCCTGTAATCCCAGCTACTCAGGAGGCTGAGGCAGGAGAATTGCCTGAACCCAGGAGGCGGAGGTTGCGGTGAGCCAAGATCGCACCATTGCACTCCAGCCTGGGTATCAATACAAAATAAAAAATACTGTAATCACAGCAAGCTGGGAGGCCATGGAGGGCGAAATACCTGAGGTCAGGAGTTTGAGACCAGCCTAGCCAACATGGTGAAACCCATCTCTACTGAAAATACAAAAAATTAGCTAGGCATGGTGGCAGGCATCTGTAATCTCAGCTACTTGGGAGGCTGAGGCAGCTACTTGAACCTGGGAGGCAGAGGTTACAGTGAGCCAAGATAATGCCATTGCACTCAAGCCTGGGCGACAGTGCAAGACTCCCTCTCAGAAAAAAAGAAACTGAGTGTTTAGTTGACCTTAGAACAACAGGGTCCACTTACACATATTTTTTTCAACAAATATATTGAATATTTTTTGGAAATTTGTGGCAATTTGAAAAAACCTGCTGATGAATCATGTCACCACTAGAAACATCAAAAAAATTTAAGAAAAAGTTTGGTATGTCATGAATGCATAAAACATATGTAGACATTGGTGTGTTTTATAATTTACTACCATAAAATATATAAAATATAAAAAACTAAAATTTATCAAAACTTACCCCCACAAACACACGGTATCATTTGCAGTGGGGAGAAATGTAAACAAAGATGCACTATTAAATCAAAACCACAAAAAAGTAACTGTAGTACATATTATACTGCTGTAATAATTTTGTAGCCACCTCCTGTTGTTACTGTGGTGAGCTCAAGTGGTGCCACTAATTGTCTGTCTTCACGTGAGCAGTTCCTCCCTCCAGTAAATTGTGTATTGCAGTAAAAAGTGAACTTCCGTATTTTTCATTGTGTTTTACGCAACATTGTAAAACTTGAATAACACTAGAAGACCCATATGAAGTGCCATTCATGATGCTGTAAGTGCTCCCAAGAAGCAAAGTATGACATTACAAGTAAAAGTTTAATTGCTTGATAAGTACTATAGATTGAGGTCTACAACTGCAGTTGCCCAACATTTCAAGATAAATGAATCCAGCATAAAGACCATTATAAAAAAAAAATTGGGGGGAAGGGGTGGCAGGCGCCATGTTCAGCCGTGAAGGTGGCAAGAAGCAGCCCCTGAAACAGCCCAAGAAGCAGGCCAAGGAGATGGAGAAGGAAGATAAGGCTTTCAAGCAGAAACAAAAAGAAGAGCAGAAAAAACTTGAGGAGCTGAAAACAAAGGCCACGGGGAAGGGGCCCCTGGCCACAGGTGGAATTAGGAAATCTGGCAAAAAGTAAGCTGTTCCTTGACCCTGAGGAGATGGTGACCCTTTATTTCATCCGTATTTAAACAACTGTATTTCCTGCCATAACATCTTTTGCCACCTATAGCTGGAATTAAGTGTTGTCTTGGAGCTGTTGTACATTTAAGAATAAACTTTGTTTAACTTTGTTGAAAGAGAGAGAGAGAGAGAGAAAAGAAAGACAAAGAAAAAGAAAGAAATGAAAAGAAAGAAATTTATTAAGCTATCACTGCAGTTACATCAGCAGATACAAAAACTTTGCACTTTTAGCAAAATACTTTTTTGTCTAATATTGAAAATGCAGCATCTGGCCAGGTGCGGTGGCTCGTGTTTATAATCCCAGCACTTTGGGAGACCGAGGCAGGTGGATCACTTCAGGTCAGCAGTTCAAGACCAGCCTGGCCAATATGGCGAAACCCCATCTCTACGAAAAAATACAAAAATTAGCCATGTGTGGTGGTCCCAGCTACCTGGGAGACAGAGGTGGGAGAACAGCTTGAACCTGGGAGGTAGAGGCTGCAGTGAGCTGAGATCGCACCACTGTACTCCAGCCTGGGTGGCAGAATGAGAGACTCTGTCTCAAAAAATAAAAAAAAGAAAATGCAGGCCAGGCGTGGTGGCTCACGCCTGTAATCCAGCACTTTGGGAGGCCAAGGCGGGTGGATCACGAGGTCAAGGGATCGAAACAATCCTGGTCAACAGAGTGAAACCCCGTCTCTACTAAAAATACAAAAAAATAGCTGGGCATGGTGGCGTGTGCCTGTAATCCCAGCTACTCAGGAGGCTGAGGCAGGAGAATTGCCTGAACCCAGGAGGCGGAGGTTGCAGTGAGCCGAGATCGCACCATTGCACTCCAGCCTGAGTAACAAGAGCGAAACTCCATCTCAAAAAAAAAAAAAAGAAAAGAAAAGGCAGAAAATGCAGACTTTATGTGGGTAGCAGAGGATAGCTACAAGAAATGCATACTTATAGACTAATGATTTGAGAAAAAGAAGTCATTATATGACAATTTAAAGCAAAAAGAAGGTGAAGGATTAAAGCTGGAAAATTTAACATAAGCAAAGAATGGTTTGATAATTTTAGAAAGAGATTTGTCTTTAAAAGTCAAGAAAATGGTCAAGCACAGTGGCTCATGCCTGCAATCCCAGCACTTTGGGAGGTGCAAGCAGGTGGATCACTTGAGGTCAGGAGTTCAAGACCAGCCTGGCCAACATGGTGAACAGTAACTATATTTTCTCTTCCTACGGTTTTCATAATAACATTTTGCTTTCTCTAGCCTACTTTATTGCAACAATATGATCTGTAATAAAAATAACATATAAAATACATGTTAATCAACTATGTTATCAATAAGGCTTCTGGTCAACAATAGGCTATTAGCAGTTAAGTTTTTGGGGATTCAAAAGTTATATGCGGATGTGGATGTGGATATGACTGCTTGGGGTTGGTGTCCCTAATCCCCATGTTGTTCAAGGGTCAACTGTACTTTTTGTACCTAGAGCTTACTACCAGTATTAACTAGTGAACTATACACTTAGATTTTGGCTTTTCTTTCTTTCTTTTTTTTTTTTTTTTTTGAGATGGAGTCTCCCTCTGTCACCTGGCTGGAGTGCAGCAGTGTGATCTCCACTCACTGCAACCTCTGTCTCCCAAGTTCAAGTGACTCTTCCGCCTCAGCCTTCTGAGTAGCTGTGATTATAGGTGTGTGCCACCATGTCTGGCTGCTTTCTTGTATTTTTAGTAGACATGGGGTTTCACCATGTTGGCCAGGCTGGTCTTGAAAACCTGACCTCAAATGATCCACCCACCTTGGTCTCCCAAAGTGCAGGGATTACGGGCACCTCGCCTGGCCAGATTTTAGCTTTTTATTATTTTTTTGAGATGGAGTTTCACTCTTCTTGCCCAGGCTGGAGTGCAATGCTGCAAACACGGCTCACCACAACCTTCACCTCCTGGGTTCAAGTGATTCTCCTGCCTCAGCCTCCTGAGTAGCTAGGATTACAGGCATGTGCCACCATGCCAGCTAATTTTGTATTTTTAGTAGAGATGGGGTTTCTCCATGTTGGTCATCATTCCCGACCTCAGGTGATCCGCCTGCCTCAGCCTCCCAAAGTGCTGGATTACAGGTGTGAGCTACCTCACCCTGCCTTAGCTTTTATTTCTAAAATCAAACATCAACAAACTAAAAAAACAGTTACAGAACTACATTTCTCATATTGGGAACAGTGGACTATAAGCCATGAGTTCTGATGAAGTTTGAAAGGTTTATATTTCCCACAGAAAACTGGTATGGCCCCTGCAGAAGGATGACACACAAATTTGTAAAGTGTTCCATGAAAAACCAAATTAGACCGGGCGCGGTGGCTCAAGCCTGTAATCCCAGCACTTTGGGAGGCCGAGGCGGGTGGATCACGAGGTCGAGAGATCAAGACCATCCTGGTCAACATGGTGAAACCCCATCTCTACTAAAAATACAAAAAACTAGCTGGGCGTGGTGGTGCGTACCTGTAATCCCAGCTACAGCTACTCAGGAGGCTGAGGCAGGAGAATTGCCTGAACCTAGGAGGCGGAGGTTGCGGTGAGCCGAGATTGCGCCATTGCACTCCAGCCTGGGTAACAAGAGCGAAACTCCGTCTCAAAAAAAAAAAAAAAGAAAAGAAAAACCAAATTAAAAAATAATTTTTTTTTCTTTTTTTCTTTTTCCAAGGCAGTGCTGAAGGTAAAAAATAATTTTTTTTGAGACAGAGTCTCATTCTGACACCCAGGCTGAAGTGCAGTGGCACAATCTTAGCTCACAGCAACCTCCACCTGGGGGCAAAATGATCCTCCCACCTCAGCCTCTTGAATAGCTGGGACTACAGGTGTGTGCCACCATGACTGGCTACTTTTTCGAGTTTTTCTAGAGACAGGGTCTTGCCATGTTGCCCAGGCTGGTCTCAAACTCCTGAGCTCAAGCCGTCCACCCGCCTTGGCCTCACAGAGTGCTGGAATTACACATGTGAGCCACTGCACCCGGTCTAAATTTTTTTTTTAAAAAAAAGAAAGGTTTTTATTTTCATTTCAATAGTATTTTTATAAAGTATATTCTGGGTCATCTAAATAACCGCATCGCATCCAAAATCAATGGTACAAGAATTCAGATGAGCTAAAGAAAAAGGCACAAAAGGGACTTATAAGATAAACGACGTATTTATGCCAAATAAAAGCCAAACCACTTAACCTGAGATGTAAGAAGAAAAGCTGTGCAGCATTCAAACACAGAAAAGTGGTGTAGAAATTGAGTCATCATAGGCTGTAGAGTATGTAGAAAACAGGCCAGGCATAGTGGCTCACACCTGTAATCCCAGCACTTTGGGAGGCCAAGGGAGGCGGATTGCAAGGTCAGAAGTTCGAGACCAGCCTGGCCAACATAGTGAAACCCCATCTCTACTAAAAATAAAAAAATAAAAAAAAATTAGCTGGGCATAGTGGCGGGTGCCTATAGTCCCAGCTACTTGGGAGGCTGAGGCAGGGGAATTGCTTGAACCTGGGAGGCAGAGGTTATGGTGAGCCAAGATTGCGCCACTATACTCTAGTCTGAGTGACAGAGTGAGACTCCCTCTCAAAAAAAAAAAAAAAAAGAAAAGAAAAGAAAAGAAAGAAAAGAAAAGAAAAGAAAAAGAAAACTACATCTGTGCTAAGGCAGATCCTAGTATATTTACTATGGAAAGAGATATTTTTGTTTTGTTTTGAGAAAGTGTCTTGCTCTGTCATCAGGCTAGAGTGCAGTGCCAAGATTACGGCTCACTGCAGCCTTGGACTCCTAGGCTCAAGTGATCCTCCCACCTCAGCCTCCCAAGTAGCTGGGACTATAGAACGGACACAAGCCATCACACTCTGGCAAATTTTCTTTGCATTTTTTTGTAGAGACAAGGTCTGGCTATTTTGCCCAGGCTGGTCTTGAACTCACAGACTCAAGCTATCCTCCCACCTTGGCATCCCAAAGTGCTGGGATTACAGGAGTGAGCCACTGCACCTGACCCAAAGATTGTTTCGGCAAAACAACATCATTCATCACCCTAAGTTTAAATTTTTTAATTGGTTTTACAGTTTTGTTTATATTAGATTTATAAATTCACTTTATTTGTTCGTTTTTGAGATAGAGTCTGGCTCTGCTGCCCAGCTGAAGTGCAGTGGTGCATTCTCAGCTCACTACAACTTCTGCCACCCAGGTTCAAGTAATTCTTCTGCCTCAGCCTCCCAAGTACCTGGGATTACAGGCACACACCACCATGTTGGCCAGGCTGGTCTCGAAACTCCTGACCTCAGGTGATCTGCCCATCTTGGCCACCCAAAGTGCTGGGACTACAGGCACGAGCCACCATGCCTGGCCTATAAATTTACTTTTGATGTATACTTAGTTTTAAATTTATATCTATCTTAGAAAGTAAATATTTTAATAAATTAGGCCAATATTGGGGATTCACAATTTTTTTTCCTTTAAAAGGGAATTGTAAATTGCTTTTTTTTTTTAACTTTTAATTTTTTATTTTTAATAGAGACGGGGTTTCACCATGTTGGCCAGGTTGGTCTCGAACTGCTGACCTCAGGTGATCCGCCTGCCTCAGCCTCCCAAAGTGCTGGGATTACAAGCGTGAAACACCACACCTGGCTATCACTATTATTAAAAAGTCAAAAAACAGGGAGCAGGCACAGTGGCTCATACCTGTAATCCCAGCGCTTTGGAAGGCTAAGGCAGGTGGATCACTTGAGGCTAAGAGTTTGAGAACAGCCTGCCCAACTTGGTAAAAGCCGACTCTACAAAAGTTAACCAGGACTGGTGGTGCGCACCTGTAATCCCTGCTACTCAGGAAGCTGAAGCAGAAGCACTTCAGTCCGGGAGGCAAAGGTTGCAGTGAGCCAAGATCACGCCACTGCATCCAGCCTGAGGGCAGAATGAGACTCCATCTCAGCGGGAAAAAAAGTCAAAAAACAGATGCTGGCAAGGCCATGGGA